GCCCCTACCCTAGCTGCTTTTAAGAACAATTTAAAATCTTGGCTCTTCCGATGTACCTTTGGAGAGTGACCACTCAACCCATCTGGTTGTTTTCATCTACAGCTGCCCCTACAGCTGCCCTCAGAATAAAGCACCTTCCCTTGTCCCCTATAAAGGCCAAATCTCATTGCTCCTCCCTGTTGGACTCCTCCCTGTTGGACTCCTCTCTGCACTTGTATCCCTCTCTAGCCCAGGGTTTTAACTTTTTACCCTCTGTGTCTGATTTTATGTTATTTATATTGTTGATTTCATTTGTTATTTCATATTTGTGTTATGATGGGATTTTTTTTGTTATTTTGTGTTTTAACTATGCTGTATTATTTTGGGCTTGGCCTCATGTTAGCCACCCCGAGTCCCCTTTGGGGAGATGGTGGTGGGTTATAAATAAAGATTCTTCTTCTTCTTCTTCTTCTAGCCCTATTTCTCCACTAACCTTCTAATGTCTAGGAGGCTGGATGGCCATCTGTTGGGAGAGATCGGATAGTGTCTTCCTGTTTGGAAGAGTAAAGAGGTTGGACTGGATAGCCCCTTGAGGGGTCCCTTCCAACGCTAGGGGTCTATGCTCCTATATTCCTATTTCTACATGAACCTTTTAATGTTTATTTATTCATTTATTTGTCTTACAGTATTTATATTATATTTCTCACCCAAAAGGGGACTCAGGGCGGATCACAGAACATACATATGCAGCAAACAGTCCGTGTACGCTGACAAGACAGACAACTCTACATAGATAGAGCTATATATAGGCGTTTCCCATCTTTGGCATCTTGGAGGCTGTGCTTGATTCCAGCCACTGGGGGTTGCTGTTGTTCCATCTTCCCTGATGAAGAGCTTTTGTTTGTAAACTTCCTCCTTGATCGAATTGTCAGCATTTTTCTGGCATTTCCTTATGGGTGCCTTAAATACTTCTCCGCTTTAAAGCTGTACCTATTTATCTACTCATATGCTGCTTTGGAAACTGCTAGGTAGGCAGGAGCTAGCCTACAGGCCAGGAGCTTATCCTGACCTGGGCTTTGAACTGTCAATGTTTGGTTGTCAAGATTTACTGCAGCTGTAGTAGTATACAGAAGTACATACACAAGTACATAAGCTGTCAACCTTTTGGTTGGTAAGATTTTCTGCAGCTGGTGATTCACCTGTTGTGCTGAAGCCCAGCCCTACACAAGTATACACAAGTACATACACAAGTACATAACCTGTCAACCTTTCGGTTGGCAAGACTTACTGCAGCTGGAGATTAACCTGCTGTGTTAAAGCCTGGCCCTAAACAAGTATACACAAGCACATAACGTGTCAACCTTTCGGTTGGCAAGTTTTACTGCAGCTGGTGGTTAACCTGCTGTGCTAAAGCCCGGCCCTACACAAGTATACACAAATACATACACAAGTACATAATCTGTCAACCTTTCAGTTGGCAAGACTTACTGCAGCTGGAGATTAACCTGCTGTGTTAAAGCCTGGCCCTAAACAAGTATACACAAGTACATAACGTGTCAACCTTTCGGTTGGTAAGATTTACTGCAGCTGGAGATTAACCTGCTGTGTTAAAGCCTGGCCTTACACAAGTATACACAAGTTCATACACAAGTACATAACCTGTCCACCTTTTGGTTGGTAAGATTTACTTCAGTTGGCGGTTAACCTGCTGTGCTAAAGTCTGGCCCTACACAAGTATACACAAGTATATAACCTGTCAACCTTTCGGTTGGTAAGATTTACTGCAGCTGGTGGTTCACTGTTGCGCTGAAGCGTGGCCCTACACAAGTATCCACAAGTACGTACACAAGTACATAATCTGTCAATCTTTCGGTTGGCAAGATTTACTGCAGCTGGTGATTAACCTGCTGTGGTAATGCCTGGCCCTACATAAGTATACACTGTACATAATCCGTCAACCTTTTGGTTGGCAAGATTTGTTGCAGCTGGAGATTAACCTGCTGTGTTTAAGCCTGGCCTTACACAAGTATACACAAGTTATACACAAGTACATAACCTGTCCACCTTTTGGTTGGCAAGATTTACTTCAGTTGGCGGTTAACCTGCTGTGCTAAAGCCTGGCCTTACACAAGTATACACAAGTACATAACCTGTCAACCTTTCGGTTGGTAGGATTTACTGCAGCTGGTGGTTCACCTGTTGCACTAAAGCCTGGCCCTACACAAGTATACACAAGTACATACAGAAGTACATAATGTGTCAACCTTTCGGTTGGCAAGATGTACTGCAGCTGGTGATTAACCTGCTGTGCTAAAGCCTGGCCCTATATAAGTATACACAAGTACATAATCCGTCAACCTTTTGGTTGGCAAGATTTGCTACAGCTGGAGATTAACCTGCTGTGGTAAAGCCTGACCCATTATCAAGCTCAATGGCCATCTGTCAGGAGGGATCAAATGGTGTCTTCCTGCATTAAAGTAGAATGGTGCCGTGTCTTCTGCATATCTTAAAATTGCAGATGTTCCTCCAAGTTTTGTGTCTTATTCTTTTACAATTCTGGCTAGAAACCGGAGCGGATTCGTGCCCCCTTCCTTACAGCATCAATTTCAGACTAAAATCTGGGGCAGATTTGCCCCACTGACCTGAAGTTCCCCTCTTTTGTTTCTTTCTGTTTGTCAAAGCCTCGCACCCAGCCTTATGAATATTGATGCCTCGTCGTCCCTCTTTTTTCGGAGATATCATCCTGGCCTTATCTCTTCCCCGCCTGCCTTGGTTTTGAATTGCTCCCCTTGTTTCCTTAATGCATGTTTCTCCAGCGATGCGCCTGCCTCCTTGTTTGCCTTTGCAAATGGGGAACAGGGCTAAGTCAATACGGTGGGATTGGGTTTGTAAATAATACCAAGGAGATTACTGGGAGGGAATAGAAGGCAGGATAGAGTCATAACCAACTTTATTTTCATTCCTTCCAAGTTAAAATCCACCCAGCATTTGCTCCCGATGCTGCAGGATGATGGGATTTAGAGTCCAGACGGCAGGGCCGAAAGCGGAGACAGGTCTTCCCATGTTCTGTAGGGTTGGATCAATTGCATAATACAGTCTCAATCACAGTTTAAATACCACAGTCTTGTTCGAAAAATAAAAACTACAACAACAACGATTTAATAATAAGTAAGAAGGAAAAAAATGGGAAGATAGAGAGAGAATAAGAGAGGAAGGAAGGAAGAATGGCAGGTGGAAGGAATGTGAAAGGAAGAAAGAGAGGAAGAACTGAAGGGAGGAAGAATGGAAGGCAATGGAGGGAGAAAAGAGGATGGAAGGAATGAAGGCAGAAATGAAAGAAGAAAGGAAGAAAAGAACAGGTTGGTGGGAGGGAGGGATGAAGGAAGGAAGAAAAGGAGGGAGGGAGGGAGAATGGAAGGAAGAGAGGGAAGAAAAGGAAGAACTGAAGGGAGGAAGAATGGAAGACAGAATGGAAGGAGGAAAGGGAGGATGGAATGCAGGGAGAAATGAAAAGAATGAAAAAAGGTGGGAGGGAGGATGGAAGGAAGGAAGGAAGAAAAGGCAGGAGAAGGAAAGAGGAATGGAGGAAGGAAGAAAGGGAGAAATGAAAGAGGAATGGAAGAAAAGGATGGAAGGAAGGAAGAAGGAAAAATGGGAGGAGGGAGGAAGAGCTGAAGGGAGGCAGGATGAAAAACAGAATGCAAGGAGGAAAGAAAGGGAGAAATGAAAGAAAAGAACAGGTGGGAAGGAGGAAAAGAAAAGAAAGGAGAAAGAAAAAGGAAGGGAGGAAGGAAGAATGGAAGACAGAATGGAAGGAGAAAAGGAGAGAAGGAATGAAGGGAGAAATAGAAGAATGGAAGAAAAGAACAGGTGGGAGGGAAGAAGGAAGGAAGGAAGAAAAGAAAGGAGAAAGAAAAAGGAAGGGAGGAAGGAAGAATGGAAGGAAGGGAGGAAGAACAGAAGGCAGAATGGAAGGAGAAAAGGGTGGAGGAATGATGGGGAAATGGAAGAAGAATGGAAGAAAAGATCAGGTGGGAGGGAGGGAGGGAGGAAGAAAGAAAAGAAAGGAGAAAAAACAAAGGGAGAGAGGAAGAATTGAAGGGAGTAAGAATGGAAGACAGGATGGAAGGAGAAAAGGGGGAAGGAATGATGGGGAAATGGAAGAAGAATGGAAGAGGAATACAGGTGGGAAGGAGGAAGGAAGAAAGAAAAGAAAGGAGAAAGAAAAACAAAGGGAGGAAGGAGGAATGGAAGGAAGGGAGGAAGAATAGAAGACAGGATGGAAGGAGAAAAGGGGGAAGGAATGACGGGGAAATGGAAGAAGAATGAGAAAAGAACAGGTGGGAGGGAGGGAGGAAGAAAGAAAAGAAAGAAAAAACAAAGGGAGGGAGGAAGAATGGAAGGGAGGAATAATGGAGGACAGGATGGAAGGAGAAAGGGGGGAAGGAATGAAGAGGAAATGGAAGAAGAATGAGAAAGGAACAGGCGGGAGGGAGGGAGGAAGAAAGAAAAGAAAGGAGAAAGAAAAAGAAAGGGAGGAAGGAAGAATGGAAAACAGAATGGAGGGAGAAAAGGAGAGAAGGAATTAAGGGAGAAATAGAAGAAGAATGGAATAAAAGATCAGGTGGGAGGAAGGAAGAAAAGAAAGAAAGAAAGAAAGAAAAAGGGAGGAAGGAAGAATAGAAGTAAGGGAGTAAGAACAGAAGACAGAATGGAAGGAGAAAAGGGGGAAGGAATTAAGGGGAAATTGAAGAAGAGTGGAAGAAAAGATCAGGTGGGAGGGAGGGAGGAAGAAAGAAAAGAAAGGAGAAAGAAAAAGAAAGGGAGGAAGGAAGAATGGAAGGGAGGAAGAATGGAAGACAGGATGGAAGGAGAAAAGGGGGAAGGAATGAAGGGGAAATGGAAGAAGAATGGAAGAAAATATAAGGTGGGAGGGAGGAAGGAAGGAAGAAAAGAAAAGAGAAAGAAAAAGAAAGGGAGGAAGGAAGAATGGAAGGAAGGGAGGAAGAAAGGAGAGAAGGAGAGAAGGAATGAAGGGAGAAATAGAAGAAGAATGGAAGAAAAGAACAGGTGGGAGGGAGGAAGAAAAGAAAGAAAGAAAGAAAAAGGGAGGAAGGAAGAATAGAAGTAAGGGAGTAAGAACAGAAGACAGAATGGAAGGAGAAAAGGGGAAGGAATGAAGGGGAAATGGAAGAAGAGTGGAAGAAAAGATCAGGTGGGAGGGAGGGAGGAAGGAAGAAAGAAAAGAAAGGAGAAAGAAAAAGGAAGGGAGGAAGGAAGGAAGAATGGAAGGGAGGGAGGAAGCACAGAAGACAGAATGGAAGGAGAATAGGGGAAAGGAATGAAGGGGAAATAGAAGAAGAATGGAAGAAGAAAACAGGTGTGAAGGAGGAAGGAAGGAAGAAAAGAAAGGAGAAAGAAAAAGGGAGGAAGGAAGAATGGAAGGAAGGGAGGAAGAATGGAAGACAGAATGGAAAGAGAAAATGGGGAAGGAATTAAGGTTTCAATGGAAGAATGGAAGAAAAAAAATAAAAGAGATGGAAGGTGGGAGGGAGGGAGAAAGAAAAGAAAGGAGAAAGAAAAAAGGAAAGGAGGAAGGAAGAATGGAAGAAAGGGAGGAAGCACAGAAGACAGAATGGAAGAAGAAAAAGGGGAAGGAATGAAGGGGAAATGGAAGAAGAATGGATGAAAAGATCAGGTGGGAGGGAGGGAGGGAGGGAGGAAGGAAGAAAAGAAAAGAGAAAGAAAAACAAAGGGAGGGAGGAAGAATGGGAGGAAGAATGGAAGACAGGATGGAAGGGGAAAAGGGGAAAGGAATGAAGGGGAAATGGAAGAAGAATGGAAGAAAAGAACAGGTGGGAGGGAGGAAGGAAGGAAGAAAAGAAAGGAGAAAAAAACGATGGGAGGAAGGAAGAATGGAAGGCAGAATGGAAGGAGGAAAGATGGGAAGGAAGGAAAGGTGGGAGGGAGGGAGGAAAGGAGGAAGGAAGAAGAAAGAGAGGAAGGGAGGGAGGATCCAAGGAAGGAAGGAATACAGGCCTTCAGATGTCATCTCCCATAGCCTGGATTGCCACCTTCTTGGCATTCCTTTCCCCTTCTGGGGTGGACCCAGGTATGGCCGCCCCACCTTCTCTTTGCAGATGCTCCTGCGACCGACCGACCAACCGGAAGGTGAGCCTCCTTGGCATCCAGGTAGATGACTCTGCAAGTGCGGGGAACCGGTTTGTCCAGACCAAGGGGAGGAGGAGGAGGAGGAGCAGGGTGTCCTCCTCTTTCTCCGAAACCTGTCCTCCTCCCTAGAGTTTCGCCCCTGAAGCCGAGAAGGAAGGAAGGAAAGAAGGAAGGAAGGAAGGAAGGAAGGAAGGAAGGAAGGAAGGAGGAAGGGATGGAGACTCTGCGGAGAGGCCTCTCCCGCTGGAAGAGGTACCGCATCAAGGTGCACCTGGCTGAGGAAGACCTGTTGCTCCCGCTGACTGTCCGGCCCACTGACACCATGATGGACCTCCGGGCCCTTTTGGTCCAGCAGGGCATCACTTCCTGGAAGAAGGCCTTCCACTACAATGCCCGGCTCTTGGCCGAAGACGAGACGGTCAAGGAGGCCAAGATCCAGGATGGCTCTGTGGTGCTCCTCGTTGCCGACCAAAGGTAGGTGGATCCCTTCTTTCGGCGGTATTTCATAGGCATTGTATATAATGGCGGTCTCCCATCCCAGTACTGCCCAAGGCTTAAACTGCTTAGCACCCAAGATCTAAGGTGTGTCAAGGATTTCCTGAGGCCTTGTATACAATGCCGGCCTCCCATCCCAGTACTGTCCAAGGCTGGCCCTGCTTAGGGATCTGGCTTTTGCCGAGGGATTTCCTTAGGCCTCTTATATTGTGGCGGTCTCCCATCCCAGTACCATCCAATGCTTAATACTGCTTAGCGCCAACACCAGTGTTTCTCAATCTAGGGGTTGGGACCCCTAGGGGGGTCGCAGGGGATGGATGTCAGAGGGGTCGCCAAAGACCACCAGAAAACACAGTCTTTTCTGTTGGTCATGGGGTTTCTGGTTGGGAAGTTTGGCCCAATTCTATTGTTGGTGGGTTCAGAACGTTCTTTGATTGTAGGTGAACTATAAATTCCAGCAACTACAACTCCCAAATGCCAAGGTGCATTTCCCTCAAACTCCACCAGTATTCACATTTGGCCATATTGAGTATTCATGCCAAGTTTGGTCCAGATCCATCACTGTTTGAGTCCACAGTCCTCTCTGGATGCAGGTGAACTACAACTCCAAAACTCAAGGTCAACACCCACCAAACCCTTCTAGTATTTTCTGTTGGTCATGGGAGTTCTGTGTGTCAAGTTTGGTTCAATTTAATCGTTGGTGGAATTCGGAATGCTCTTTGATTGTAGGAGAACTATAAATCCTAGCAACTATAACTCCCAAATGACAAAATCAATCCCTCCCAACCAGTATTCATACTTGGCCATATCGGGTATTTCTGTCAAATTTGGTCCAGTGAATGAAAATACATCCTGTATATCAGATATTTACATTATGATCCAAAACAGTAGCAAAGTTGTGAAGCAGTGTTTCTTACTCTCTCCATTGGTGTGGAATTGCATGATCCCCCCCCCCCCCCCCCCATTGCCTATCTCTTAACCCTTTCCTACTCTTTTGAACTTTGTCTGCACAACAAACAGAGCAGAACTAATCAGCAGACCTGGATCAAACTTGGCACACAGAACCACCATGACTCACCTCACGTCCTGGTGAAGTTTGGTGGATGACGGGCCACAGATGATGGGTTTTGCAGTACTTTCAATTGCTTCTGCTCCCACAGATTAATGTGACCCCCACCAATAAGTGATCAGGACCAAAGTTGGCACACAGTTCCTCCATGATCCACTTTACATCCTGTTGTGGTTTGGAGGAAGATGGACCATCAATGATAGGATTTGCAGTACCTTCATCCGATTTGGCTTCCACAGACCACTGCAACCCCCACGAATGACGGACCTGGATGAAACTTGGCACAAAAACTCCCCATGAACAACAGAACATACCGGAGAAAGTTGGGGGACACTGACTTTGATTTATGGGAGTTAAAGTTCTCCTGCATCCAGAGAAACATTGCCACTCATCGACAATGTCCCAGGACCAAACTTGGCACAGAGATGCCCCATGACCAACTGAACATCCTGCAGGGGTTTGGGGGGAATTGACCTTGATTTTGGGAGTTATAGTTCACCTAATGTAATAATAATAATAATAATAATCATCATCATCATCATCATCATCATCATCATCTTGTCCCAGGATCCCAACGCATTGAGCTAGGGCAGCTAAAGGGGTCTCCAACCAGCTGACCCTGGGTCACATTCTTTCAACCTAAGAGTAAGGAAAGGGACACCAAGAAATCCTTAGGACATGGCGATAAAAGTTAGCATTCAGTGAGACTAAGGTTCAAATCCTCCTTCGACCATGGATATTTAGAGGCAGGTCACACACTCTCAGCCTCATGGGAAGTCAGAAGAAGCCTGACTTAGGAGAGGGATGCCATCGATGAAAACATTTGATGCCTTCAGTGTCTGCCTTCTTTGTCGTCATTATGCTTTTCTGGCTTATTGTGGTCTTATGTGCTGTCTTTCCTATCAATACAGGTGAAGCTTACCGGGAGAGTTTGAGGAAACTATGCAGCGTGTTGCCGCCGTTCAAGAGGAAGATTGCCGAACAGGCAGGAGAGAGCCCAAGGTAATGCTTTCACACCATCTTTGGGGCCAACATGAGTGTGATGCAGCAGCAAAAAAGGCCAGTACGATCCTAGTCCCACTCTCTTCTGCTTTGGTCAGTCCTTGGAATGACCCTGTGTCCAGTTTAAGGAGGATATGGACAACATGGCCAAAGGTCTGGAAACTATGAATCCCAAAAGGGAGTGGCTTAGGGAGCTGGGTATGTTTAGTTGGAGAAAAGAAGGCTGAGAGATGAGGACATGAGAACCGTGTTTAAATATTGGAAAGGAGGTCATAAGGAAGAGGGAGCAGGCCTTTTTTTTTTTTTTTTGGCTGCATCTGAGACTAGGTTTCAATACAGCCATGGGTTCAAATGGCAGGAAAGGAGAGTCAGCCTGAACATTAGGAAGAACCAAGCTCAACAGTGGAATATGTGTGATGGTGTCTCCTTCACCTGATGGGAGAACTTGGGTGGTGTCTTCCTGCCCTGGCAGAAAAGGGATAGACTGGGGTCTCTTCCAACTATAGGGATCTATGATTCTATGATGAACCCATGATTCCATGGTTCTATAATGTACCTGTGATCAGAGGTGGCCCTAGGTAATTTTCGACGATAAGCAAACAGTATTTTGCCAACCAATCACTGATATATATTTTCTGTTTGTCATGGGAGTTCTGTGTGCCATATTTGGTTCAATTCCATCATTGGTGGAGTTCAGAATGCTCTTTGATTGTAGGTGAACTATACATCCCAGTAACTACAACTTGCATATGTCAAGGTCTATTTTCCCCCAAGAGCACCTCAAGAGCGCCCTGGGCAAAATCAACTATACTGCAAATGCTTACTTTGCGTAATGGGTTGAGCCGCCCCTGCCTGTGATTCTATGACGAACCTCAGATTCTGTGATAAATCTATTAGTCTGCTGTTATTATTATTGTCGTTGTTATTATGTATATACTAGCTTGTGTACCCAGCGTTGCACGGCTTATTTGAAAAGTCAGTTTTTTCATTGTACAAAATGCATAGGTGAATTACAACTCCCATCATGCCAGGTTAACCCCGAATAACTCCATCAGCCCATAAAGATTTATATTGGGCAAGTTTGCTCTAGATTCATCATCACTGGGGTTCAGTGTGCTCTCTGGCTGTAGGGAAAAATTACAACACCCACTATGGTGAGTCTGTCCCCTCAAACCCCTCCAGTAGGTTGAGTTAGTCATGGGGTTCTGTGTGCCAAGTTTGGTCCAGGTCTATAATTGGTGGAAGTCACAGTTTCTCTGGTTGTGGGTGAACTACAACTCCCAGAAAGGAAGGTCAGTCTCCCCCAAACCACTCCAGTAATCAAATTTCAACGTATCAGGTATGTGTGTCGTATTAGGTCGAGATCCATCAGTGTTTGGGTTCACAGTGCTGTCTGGATGTAGGTGATCTAAAACTCCCCCCAAATCAAGGTGAATGTTCCCCAAAGACCTCCAGTATTTTCTGCTACTCATGAGGGCTCTATGTGCCAAGTTTGGTCCAATTCCATCTTTGGTGGAGTTCAGAGTGCTCATTGATTGAGGATGAATTACAAATCCCAGTATCTACAACTCCAAAATGTCCAGACCAACTTCTATAAATCATGGTGAATTCTCCCCAAACCTCTCAAGTATGTATAGGTGCTGATTAATTCCTCTGTTTGCTGTGTGCCACAGAAAAGAATAGGAAAGGGTTAAGGGAAAGGCAGTGGGCGGGGTCATGCAAATTCTACACCAATAGAGTCAGAATCACTGGGATGTCTGTGGTGGAGGAAGCACATACAATCTAGGATGAAATTGTGCCTGGATGAAAGCCTTCACTTGAGTGGTGTGCAGTATGGTGTTTGTGGAGGACATCGGCAGGGCTCTTGGACATGTTCATGGCGCTCACTAGAACTTGCAATGTCACTGGAGGGAGGGCCTTTGGTGTCTCCTGAGTAGTGGGAGTTATAGCTGTTTGTGGAGGCAGGAGCTTGTCTGTATAAGTGGGCACTTTTATTATGTGTATAGATATATAAACCCCACTTTTTCTCTTCACAAGGAGACTCAAAGCAGCAATGATCAACCCATGAGTCAGTGGATCTATAAAGTATCTCTGATTCTGTGGTTCTAAAATGTATCTTTGATTCTATGATGGACCTATGATTCTATAATGAACCTGTTTCTATGGTTCCACAATGTATCTTTGATTCTATGATGAACCAGTGGTTCTCTGATTCTATGATGAACCGATGATTCCATGATGAATCGATGATTATATTGTTCTGCGATGAACCTATGATTTTATGAGAAACCTACAATTTTATGGATCTATAATGTATCTTTGGTTCTACAATGAACCTGTGATTGTACAATTCTATGATGAAGCTATGACGAACCTGTGGTTCTATGATGAACCAATGATTCTATGATAACTTGATGATTTTATGGTTCTATAATGTATCTATGATTCTGTGATGAACCTGTGATTGTCTGATTCTACGATGAACCGATGATTCTGTGATGAATCTGTGATCATTTGATTCTACGATGAACTGATTATTATATTATTCTGTGCTGAACCTATGATTTTCTGATTCTATGACGATTCTATGGTTCTGGGATCCGGCAAGTTCCCACTTACATTCCCTTTTCCCTTGATTCAACTGCAGATCTGAGTGCAGGACGAGATGATGATGATGATGATGATGATGAAGACGACAACGACAACAACAGAGAAGCCCCCGGCCCTCTCTTGATGCCAACGTCATCATCCTTGGATTGGAAACACCACTGATGTGATCTGGCACCAGGAAGCCTTCCTGCTTGCGGCTGCAACATAACAAAGCCATGCGCCTCTTTTCTGGGAGGGCGAGGAACAGGTCGGGGCAGAGCAGGGCAGTTGCAAAAGAGGAAATTCAAGTTCATGGGGCCGAGAGGGAGGAGGAGGAAAAGGAGGAGGAGAGTTTCAGTCTCCTGCAGAAAGGGAGAAGCCGGTTTCCCGCAAAAAGCAAATGTTATGAATAACTTTTCAACAACTTTAAAGCATAGGTTCTTATTATTGCAGTTTCAGTGTGAGAAAGGGTATCAGAACTTGGACATACAGATTCAATGTAACTATATTGAATCCACAAACAACCTAGTTACATTGGCTAACAGAAAAAGGGGAATTATATTTTTACTCAACACTCACATTACCCATACACAATCATTCATCCTCGTGCATCCCAATATTACCATATCCTTTCTCCCTCCTTGGAGAAGCACCTGCTTAAGCCAGACCCTGCTTTCCTTGCACAGTTCCAAAACTTCCAAAATGCCAAAACACATCCTTTCCTTTTCCCTGAGAAAGAAGCAAGTGACCAGATTTCTGCTTTCCATTGCAGATCTGCCGCTCCTACAGGTGCACCATCTCTCTCCTTCCCATGGAGCAGAGCATGGCGAGTGAGCCAGACTGCTCCAGTCTGCCACACTTTTGGAATATTAGAAGGCCACTCATATAGCAATATTTCTTGCTGATGTTGTTCCAAAGTTGTAAATGAATGATAGCTATTTTTCCAGCCTGAAACATCCTGGCTTCATCTCAGTTCCGGGCAGATGTTGACTCTCCTTAATTGGTGTTGGTAAACGTAAGGAGCCTTGTGTTGACTTCCTTTTTAAACATAAGGAACCTTGTAAACACTTCCTTAACTTAAAGAGCCATTGTCTCTGATAATGTAAACACATTTCTCCCCAATAATTCAACAGTTAATCATTGTCACAGCTCTCATCAGCAACTTTTAATTACAGTCCATGAATTCTTCACCTCCTCCTTGTAGTTTTCCAGGCCTCAGTCTTAGGATGACATCTCTAGACAATACAGATCCCAACCATATATATTCCATACAATTTCATTCAAACCATACATCATATTTCATGACACAAAGCCAGGATTCTCAAAAACTAGACTTGTCTCTATATTCTGATAGCGTTACAAACTTGGTAGATGCAGGGAATGCTGTGGACAGAGCCAATCTTGATTTCAGGAAGGTGTTTGATAATGTCCCCCTGCAATCTTCTTCAAACAAACAAGTAAATTGTGGGCTGGATAATATTCCTGTGAGGTGGTTTTGTCATTGGTTAAGCAACCAAACCCAACAATGGTTCCTCGTCTTCATCCTGGAAAAAAGGGACTATTTGGGTGTCATAAAGAGGGCTCTGTCTTGGGGCTTTCGGGGCTTTTCAACGTCTTTGTGAATGACTCGGATGAAGGGCCTCCTTAACAAGGCAAAACTGGCCCCAATTAAACAGACCCAGAACAACCTTTAAAATGTATTTATTATTTATTTACTTACTGTAGTTATATCGTGCCCTTCTCACTCTGAGTCAAAGCGGCTTACAATAGGCAATAATTCAATGTCACATAAGACATACATACAATAAACATGAAAAATATAAAACTATATATATAAACATTAAAACCAATTATTAAAAACCACACAATCTGAAATCATAGTCCAGGAGCCATTCCAGTCGTGATTGCACATATTCCATCTTCACTTATTGCAGTGTGTTACTGTCCAAAGGCTTGGTCCCACAACCATGTTTTTAATTTCTTTCTGAAGGTCAGGAGGGAAGGAGCTGATCTAATTTCGTTGGGGAAGAAATTCCATAGCCAAGGGGCCTACCACCAAGAAAGCCCTGTCTCCTATCCCCACAAGTTGCAATTGTGAAGCAGGTGGGACTGGGAGCGGGACCTCCCCAGAAGATCTTAACACCTGGGCTGGTTCATAGGGGGAGAGATATTTGGACAGATACGTTGGGCCAGAACTGTTTAGGGCTTTATAGGCTAAAGCCAGCACTTTGAATTGAGCTTGGTAGCGGACTGGCAGCCAGTAGAACTGACGTAACACGTGGGTGTTGTATTCTTCCTGTACACCACTCAGGTGAGCAATCTGGCTGCTGCCCATTGAACCACTTGAAGCTTCCAAACAGTCTTCAAAGGCAATCCCACATAGAGTGTGTTGCAGTAGACTATACGGGATGTAACAACAACGTGGACCACTGTGGCCAAGTCTGGCTTCTCAAGGTTTGGGTGCAACTGGTGCACAAGTTTTAACTGTGCGAAAGCTCCCCTGGCCACCATGGAAACCTGTTGTTCCAGGCTCAGTAATGAGTACAGGAAGACTTCCAAACTGAACCTGAGTCTTCAAGGGAATGCAACCCTGTCCATCACAGGTTGAAACCCTATACCCTGTTTGGTCTGAATAACGTTTAAAAGGCACCAAATGGGCAAAACGGGCACCAAACAACCCTAAACAGGCTCTGAACAACCTTTAAAAGGCACCAAATGGGCATTTTGTGGTTCTGGGCCCATTTAGGGTTGTTTAGGGTCTGGCCCCAAACACCCCTAAACAGATTGCGAGTTCAGATTTTATTGCAACCTTCTTCTTGAAAGGCTGGAGGTTTGATGCCAGGCTTTTTGGATATCCATAGGGTTTGCCAACTTGCAGAGTATTATTATTATTATTATTATTATTATTATTATTATTATTATTATTTTAAAGTCCAGGATGAACTCGGATTCATTGCCGCAACTGACAATGGGAGGAATAGGACTTGGCTTGTCTCTTGGCCACTGCTGTCTTGACGTGACCCTGGTCCAGCACAAGCTTTATGGCCACCCACGCAGCTGCTGTTTGCTGATGCTGCTCTCCATTGGCTTTATTTACAGCCCAATAAGGAGGGACGTGCCCACCCCCTTCCTTTCTTTCTTTCCCAACCCAACTCCAAGGGCTGAGTCAGCAAACGGATTCCTGTAAAAAGGAGAAACCAGTCGCAGGCAGAGATCTTGCAGGGGCCGGCCCTAGGTAATTTTCAATGGTAAGCAAACATTATTTTGGCGCCCCCTCCCCCCAACCAATCACTGAAAAATAAAACGTAGAAGGTAGAGGTGAATAAAAGAGTTACCTTACAAACCAGAAATTTACTTACAACATTATGTTTATATAGTTACATTACACAAATTAACTTTTTTAAGAATGCAAATATTTTACTAAACTTAGCAACAATTTTAAGTTTTTGTTGTTATTTTTGGTCTACAAGTACTACACAAAGGTTTCCTGGTCATGCTGTCTCTTCAGAGAAGATTTTTCAGACTAGGGGTTTGCTAATAACAGAGAACTCAATCCCATGCTTGTTGGGTCTGTCAATCAGATTTGTTTTGGAGAACGCAGCCCCAGGAGAATAGACACCTCCTTTTGAAGAAAGTGAACTCTTGTCCTTCAAAAGTGCCATGCCAGCCTGGACCATTACAATGGGTGTGGCAACATAGTCAGCCTCTGGCCCCTTCACTTTAGTGGATACTTTAACATCCAGTTTTCCTTAACACAAATAAACTTGAACACTTTTAAAATTAAAAAGAGATTTTTCTGGCTTTCAATTTTGAAAACTCGTGTACTATTATATCTGTTTCCATTTCATCCAACAAGCCATTTTCAATGGCCAAGGTTGCTAGTCCACTCAAGCG